CTGTAATCCCAGCACTCGGGAGGCTGAGGCAGGAGGATCGCTGTGAGTTGGAGACCAGCCTGGTCTACATAGTTCCAGGTCAGTCTCAACTACATGGTGAGACTCTGTCTCAGAAACCAAACAAAACAAAACAACCAAAGCCAAAAACCAAACAAAAGAAACAAAAGAACACGTAGTGGGGTCTGTTTTGCATCCTAATCACCCTGCGGTCTGTTTTTTCTCCTATTTCTTGTTTTTACCCTTTAGATCCCATGTGGCCGAGAGTATGACAAGGTCTGGCTAGTGAATTTAATCCAGAGCCATTGCGGTGTCTCCTTCAGCCCGGTTGATGTAAGAGAGGACGGTGAAGCCAGATGAGTGGGCAGAGGGGAGGAGGGGAGGTGTGGCTCGGCGGGGACCCTTGGCATCTGACACCACTGCTTCTTCCTTCTCTGCCTGTAGTTCCACTACATCAACAGCCGGGCCTTCTTCTTCGTCCAGGATGCGAGCGTTGCCTCCAAAATAAAGGATGTCAGGAACCAGATTTATGATGAGAGGAGGCACAGGGTGTGTGCTGCTGGGTCATCCCTGGCACCGAGTCCTGGGGCTGGTGGGCAGGCCAGGGGCTGATGGCTGGTCACTGTCTGCGAGATCAGAGGTCCTCTCCTCCCCACAGATAGCTATCTTTGTCCAGCCTTCGATTGTACCCTACTCTGTGCAGAATAAGTTCACGCCAGAACAAATGGAGCACCTAAAGGTAATGCAGAGCCAAAGCCTGTCGTGTACCCACTTCCCCCACACAACTCTTCTTCCTGCAGCCCCTGAGGTTCTTGTCACTGCCACCCTCACAGCCTCAGAGCCGCTCTCGCTCCCCCAACCCCGTCCCTCTCTCCCTCCCTCTCTCTCTGTCTCTGCAGGCGAACATGTGTAAACGATATGATGTCTCCCAGCAAGCTCTCAACCTTCAGCAGCTCCGCTATGACCCAGGTATGGCTGACCCACAGTAACTCTAGGCCAGGTGAGAGCAGAGGGTTCTGGCTGGGAGGAAGACTGCGCAGTGGAAGGCAGCTTGCGCAGCGTCTGTACAGACACTGGTCTGGCCAGGGCCCTTTGAGCCTCTTCAATCGCCTCTCTCTCTCTGTCTCTCTCTCTCTCTGTCTCTCTCTCT